CTTTTGGTGTCATCTTCTGGGACCTCTGCTAACACCCCGGCAGCCGCCAACGTCTTGCTTTCTGCTAATGGTCAGGTCAAGTTGGCTGACTTTGGTGTCTCTGGTCAGCTGTCGGCGACGATGACCAAGAAGAACACATTTGTGGGGACACCCTTCTGGATGGCACCTGAAGTAATCAAACAGAGCGGTTATGATCACAAGGCCGACATCTGGTCCCTCGGTATCACGGCGCTGGAGCTTGCCAACGGCGAGCCTCCCTATGCTGATATCCATCCCATGAAGGTGCTTTTCCTGATCCCCAAGAACGCGCCGCCGCGGTTAGAAGGCAACTTCAGCAAGGCTTTCAAGGACTTTGTCGAGCTGTGCTTGCAGCGCGATCCCAAGGACCGTCCGTCAGCAAAGGACATGCTCAAACACCCCTTCATCAGGAGGGCGAAGAAGACCACATACCTCACCGAACTGATCGAGCGGCATAGCCGGTGGGCCGCCACAAACAAGCAGGATGACGAGGACAGCCTCAATGGCGACGAGGGCGAACAAATCGAGAATCAGAACCCCGTCGATGAAGACATGTGGGACTTTGGAACGGTGCGCCTGGTTAGCGACCGTGGCAACGTTTTCCACAGGCCGGGTTTGTTGAACCCCATGGGCGAGTCGGCGACCAATGCGAGGTCGTCCAGAGCACTGGACCCCCCCGAGTTTGGTGAGAGGAGACGGGATCCCAGCCCGACAAAGGCCGTGGCAGATACGAGAGATACCGTCAAAGTGGCTGCTGGTACGGGTGCACCGAGGCAGCTCTCTCCACAAAGGAAGCCCGTGGCATTGCCGCCTACCGCTCATCCGTCGCCCAGCAAGGTCCCACTGCCACCCTCGCCCCAGAAGCCTCTTCCCGAACCCGAGACCCCTCGCGCATCTCTCGTATCGAGGCCCATGCCGTCCTATCCCGCGAGCAGTTCTCCTGACTACGATCGCGTGCTGCAAGAGCAGCTGCAACGAGACATGGGCGTGATGAATCTCGGCCCGTCCATCCAGCCACAAAGCCCATCGTTGCACTCAAAGCCGTCCACATCAACCCTCGTCTCCATGAAGCTTCCAGAGATACCCCCATTCAGGGGAGCGCCATGTGTGCCGCAGCCGCCAATGCACAGGGCCATGTACCCGCCGCCTCTGCAGACCAAGAGCAACTCGCAACCGGCAGTCTACCAACCGGCAGCCTCTCAACCACAATACCAACCACAGTACCAACCACAACAACAACAACTACAACAACAACAACAACAACAACAACAACCACCATACCAAACCCCCCAAAACACCTCGCACCATAGGGCCCCCTACGCACCCAACCAGCACCAACCCCTGGTCTCCAAGGAACTCCCCCGCCCTACTCCTGGCACGCCGTCGGATCCAAACTCCACCACGCCCTTCACCTTCCCCACCCCGGCGCCAGCCAACCCCAACGGCGACCTCGACGCCCTCAACGACGTGATCTTCCCGGCCCTCGAGGAGGCCCTCAAGCGCCGCCAGATCCACCTGCAGCAGCAGCTGTACCTGGCGCCAGGGCAGCCCGTGACGCCGAAGCAGCAGCGCGCCGAGGCGGCCCACGAGAAGGTCCGGAAGCTGGTCTACAAGCTGGCGCATGTCTGTAAGGAGATTGACCACTTTGACAAGAGCGAGCCCGTGGGCATGGGCCGGGAGGTGGGGACCTTTTTGGAGGGGCTGTTGGAGGAGATCTTGGTGAGGGTGGAGCCGTTGGATGAGGAGGAGGCTGGGCGGTAAGTGATGATGGCTGGTAGGGTGGATGGGGGAGGAGGGTTGAGGGATGGGAGACGGGCGTTTTCTAACGCATGCAGACTCGACGTGTTTAGTAGTTCACTCCATGTCAAAATCCAGCAGCGCTATTCTGTCGCGGACCTGCCAGTATGGGACGGGGTAATGGTGGTGGTCAATTCTTGGGCTGGCATTTTGGAGCTGCCCGCCATGTTTCCCCTCTACAACCGATCCATCAACTTGGAGGCGACATCGTCGATGTTCGTTCCGAAGCTGGACGCGGTGCACTGCAGGTACAGCACGCCGTCCTCAATCTCGCACTCGCAGTACGAGTCGTGCTTGAGCGTGTCGACGATGCGGAACGCATACTCGTTGGTGCTGACGGCCTCGAGCACGCCCTCCTGCACCATCTCGTCCTCGCCCACCTTGATGTACTTCATCTGGTAGGCCAGCGCGTCAAAGTACTTGAAGACGAAGCCGCCCAGGTTGGTCTGCCAGCCGTCGCTGTCCGTGTTGGCCGCGGCCAGCTTGGCGAAGACGGCGTCGAAGTTGGGGCTCAGCGTGATCTGGTCCTCGGTCTTGCCGAGGAGCGTGGCGATCTGCTTGCGCACGTCGCCGATCTGGCCGTCGTACTCGGCGCGGATGCCCTTGCGGGCCGTGAAGCTCAGCGGCGCGTCGCCGGGCGCCGCGTTGAGGGCCTTGGTGAGGACGTCCTCCTGGCAGCAGGAGTCGATGTTGCTGCCGAGGTTCTTCTCGTGGAAGAGGATGCGCAGCTTGCCGTCGCTGACGTCGCAGCCGCCGTAGGAGAAGCGCGGGGGGTCGGCCTCCTCCACGTCGAGGGTCAGGACGTTGGCGCTGCAGATCGAGTTGATCTCCTTCTTGAACTCGTCGCCGCCGCTGCCGACGGCGTACTTGATCTGGTAAATGGCGCCCTCAACGTAGCTGCGCAGGTGTTAGTCCAGACTGCGGCCTGAAGGGTCTTGGGGCAGAGAGTCCCAGAGACCAAGACGTACGCCTTCACACAGCTCCCAAGCGACTGCTTGGCATAGCCGTCGTTGTGGTAGGGCCAGACGGCGAGGGGGTTGATGTCGATGGTCCAGGCTGCGCCGAGGAGGTCAGACAGCTGCTTCTCCAGGTCGGCCTTGTTGTTGTCCCACTCGTCCCGGACTGCGGAACAGGGTTAGAAAACGCTTCGGGATTTGGGTGACACGTGTGGCGTTCATACCGTTCTTGCGCAGGGCAAGGGGAAGCTTCTCGGCAGGCGGGAGACGAGGCATATTAACGGTTGTTGGAAGTAGGATGGCGGAGCGTAGAAGTGGATGATGAGACTGGATCTTCCTGTCGACATGGTGGGGGGGGCGTTCCATCTCTTTATAGCCAGCGACGCTCATCCTGTCGATGTGATTCATCCGGCGTGCGGTGCCTGTGCCTGCCTTCCCCTGGGACTGTTCTAACCCACAATGGTGTAAGGCTGACCGCCGTCCCGAAGTTGCCGAGCGCAACCCCGCTGCATCCCCGACACCGTTGGTATGGGGTGCACGGCATTTGATGAGCTATGTACATACATGTAGCTCCGTGCCAAGAGACTTCTAAACATCTGGGTAGGATCTGGGATGCCAGAGTAAGAGTTCCGGATTTACCCTAAGCATGAGCCGCGGTTATCTAAACTGCGGTGTGAGGTATCTCGTGTTGGACAGCTTGTTTTGGCAATGCGCGTCTCAGAGACGCAGTTTGCCTCGCAGGTTGCCTGGTGGTGCCAAGAGATGCCCCCGCCTTTAGGCTTTCAGCTGAACGCCGCATGTCAGTGTCGATATCTTCAGGGGTTCCACATGCAGCCTAGCCAAGACAGCCCGCGTGCATGCTTTAAAATGCCCAAAGTTCGCTTGACTCCTGATTCATGCGGGGATGCTGACAACCCGACGAGTCGCTCCCCTTCCAACCATTGCAAAACGTGTTCCTCAACCGCGACAGCCATGTCCTCACTGTAGGCACCCACAGGAGGCCCCCACCTTCCTATCCCCTATCCCCCATCCCCTCCTGAGCAAAGAGACCAGCCTAACCCACCCACGGCCACAGACCGCTCAAAGTCCAAGTCGCCATCCGCGACCACTGGGCCAGAGAAGATAGCCCTTTGCAAAACGCACTGCGGAGTCTGCAGGACCTCCTGGGGCACGACGTCGTCGTCGAGCCAGAATGGCAGCTTCTCGTCGCGGAACTTGACGCCCTCTACGCCGACGACAGGGGCGCGCTTGTCGTCGTGGTCGCGGGTTGTCTCCAGACGTGGGCCAAGAGCATGACGGAGCTGCTCGATGACTCGGCGCACGACGCGTGGATCGAGACCGTCCTCGAAAAGGTGCCCATGCGGATGAGGGTTTTTGTCGAGGTTGCCGGCTCGGAGGCGGCAGCGACGGCGTGGTCGGAGCAGCGCGACGGATTTGTGGTTCATTTGCCGAGGAAGAGGATCTTTCAGCCCGCCGAGCTGTTCCCTGTTTTCCGGGGGGATCTGCTGGCGTGTTTTGGCGAGGGCAAGACCACGCCCCAGCAGCCGGCACGCGCGGCCGGCACTGCTGGAGACTGGGTCGGAATGGAGGTCGACACCGAGAGCGGCCGGGCAGAGGTGGTTGAGCACCCCATACGCTCACAGGAACCGGCGCGCGCCAAGGTCGAGTTCCTCCCCAGCGTGGCATCGCTCCCGCGACCCGACCAGCTCTTCCTCCGACCTCCCTACCATCTCACCATGATTCCCGGCCATCGGCAGATAGAGCTGCAATGCAGCCACAGCCCTTCTTTGCAGCTTCTTGCAGATTACTTGAAACGGTGGTGCCGCGTGGACCACTCCGACACCAGGAACGTGGGTTGTGCCGTCTTTGCCGAACCGCTCTCCATTTTCTTGTCCAGCTGCTGACCTTCTTGACTCCAGCCGCCCGCCGTCCAAGTGAGCCTGAAGCAGTCGGCCTTTGGACTGGGTGAGATGTTCGATCGGTTGGTTCTCAGCACCGAGAACAACATGTATACCGACAAGTTCCAAGTCACCTCTCCCATGGTTGTCGCCCTCATTGAGGGGGTGCTTGGGTACACGCTGATGACGAATAACGGCGGCTGGAACTTTCGACGGGACACCGAATTCAGGATCCTGTGATCGGAAACGGGTAAGAAATTGACGCAATGGTCAAGGTCCTGCGATTGTAAGGGGCTGCAAAGAGGCTCAACTCCAACAAATTGAATAGCCTGCCCGGCTAGCTCAATCGGTAGAGCGTGAGACTCTTAAGGATCTCCGAAATCTCAAGGTTGTGGGTTCGACCCCCACGTCGGGCTCAATTCCCGTCGACGATTCGATATTTTTGCGTTGTTCCTTTTGCCCCCTGTGAGTGGGGCCAGCTCACCGGCCCTCTCCTCCCGGCGTGGACAACGGCCCTCGAATTGAGCCAACACCCCCTGCTGGGAACCGCAGTCGCAGAAGACTGTAGAGGAATCGGGGTTGGCCCAGCCCCCTAGACACCCTCTGTCCAGCGCGTGCAAATCTTTGCTCCCCATGCCAGCAACGGCTCGCGTCCAACCCACTCTGCCGTAACATCCCTGCTCTAGAAGATATATCGCCAACCGCTCCTGGTGCTGCCAGGCCAATTGGGAACCAGGTATGTTGAGCCAGGCGTGCGCTCGTCGCGGAAGTCAGCAACAACGACAACCGGCCGCCTGCCATCCCCTGTCCGGCCTCTGCGCCACGCCATAATCCTTCCTCCGCGACTTCCATATCTTCTCTATATATGATACTACAGCTAGGTTTGAAAATGCGCGGTTGCTACGATGGTCTTTTTTGCAGGTGCATCGATCTTTTCTTAACAATTTGGTAGTGCTGCCTGCTTATTTGGCCGTTGACACTAACATTGCAAGGTACATAGCTGTTAGTGATTTATGGTTGGCTGTCAATTTTTCGCCAAGCCTGCTACGCTCTCCTACCACGCTCTCGCACAGGTATGTAAATTCTTCCGCTACGAATTTCTCTCCTGGGATTTTCCTTCTACATATTATTTACCGGCCCTACCATTACATTTACCTACATCCTATATATAGTAGTATACTTCCTGTTAC